GGGGGGGGGACGAGGGGTGCTGAAGAGAGTTTCCTTCACTTTTAGCACTGCTACCTGTGCCGATAGCGGAGGAGCGAGAGAGGAGAAAAGGACAAAAAAAGACCCATCACCTTTCCCCTGAATCTGCCAGTGAATACGCCACTACGGGGGCACAGGACACAAACGTGACAAAGCATACATCAGCAGGCTTGGCCTTAGCTGAACAGGATTTATTTAGTGCATAAAAAGTACCAAAATTTCAGATTCGTGGCACCATCGAAAATTTACATTCTCAATCTCTTCACCACTCAAGTCCCAGCACAACGTCTACGGCTATTGCTAGATCAACTTCTCATTTCTCATATCTGTTTTAGTGAAAAGCCGACTGTAGCATCCACGTTGACTCTGGAAATCTAAGTGGCGAAGGCGCGATTGAATACGGAAGGGGAAAACAACATGAGGAAAGAAGGCAAGGTTGAGATAAGACGTTTCGGTCCATTAAGTCATATACGTTTTAATTCAACACTATGACAGGACCTCGATCAATTAATACTGCAGAATTTCATAACATGTGCTTCAGTCATGCTTCTGCTTCCCAAAAAAAAAAAAAATCCTTAAAACAGGAAACATATATAATCTAACCAGTAGTCAATTATATAGAAACATATATAATCTAATGTGCTCTATGCTGAGGCGCAAACAAAGATTTTTAGAATGGAAGTGATTCTGATAATGAACAAAAATGAGTAGAAATCATCAAAACTGAATGTAGTTTTTGCCAAGTGTAGCACAGAAGCTTACTTCAGTTTCGTAGAGATCAGGTAAGATAGTCTTTGTAAGGCCCGTATGTGTGCTTTCCAATTTCCAGCTTTCCCTACTTCCTAAGCCGATAACACCTGAAAATATATGCATTATTCTGTGGAGCAGCAATGAAACGTCGAAGCGTCGGGGTAGGAAAATTAGTATTGGAATGCAGGTTTACCGAAAAAAAGTGATAACAAACTAAGGTATTTCAAACCGATAAACTGATGCTAAATGTCAAGCATCCAGTGGCACTGTGGTACTCAAAAGTCAAAAAATAACGAACTTTTTTTTTTAGAAAAATTTACCAAAAAAAAAAATAACTTTGTAGATGTTTAGACTCCGGCAAGTTCTAGATCCAGTTCCAGATCTTAGCAATCCCATGAGTTTTGTAATTTCTAGGCTCAGTATTCCGGAAATACAATGATTCGTCGAGACCAATCAATCAATTGATGACACAAAGGCTTCATTACAAATACTAGACTGGCATATCCTAGTGGCAGGCATCAAAGTCGAAAAATGGACAAATCTTAGTGCTACCATGTCAACTCTCGTAAATTTGGACACCAACTTATAAATTTCTGCTTATAGTGATAAGAAAACGAAATACATTGTGTTTCTAATCGTTTCAGAGTAATGCCAATCCTGACCACTAACCCTCTTCAGCTTCATCCCCGTCCCCTTGATTTATGCATACTGAAGAATCGGATTTAAAAAAAAAAAGTAAACCTGCATTATACAGGGTAATGGTTACAATTTATGCATTACAAGAGCAGAAATATGAGATAAGTTAAAGTAACTTATAACGAGGTTGAGATCCTGTTGCAGTGTTAAGGTGCATATGACTTAATGGACCAAAACGTCTTATTTCAATCTTACCTGCTTCTCTCATACTTTTCTCTCATGCTGTAATCTTCACCATTCAGGCTTCCAGGATCAAACCTGACCGTTACAATCGGCTTATGAAATATTATGCAAAATAAGACGTTCTGGTTTGCTTCAATGCAACATCAAAGCACCATAGTTGTCTTTGGATATAAATTAATGTGACAGAGATGTGTTGTTGATGCTGAAAAGTGCTGGGATAGCTCACCTTGTGTAACATCTTCGATTACTTTCGACAGGCACTTCAAACGAATCGTTACGCAGAGCTCAAACAATGGTTGCAGTTGCTGCGACGTGAAATTCGAATCCAACATAGAACTTATGCAGGATCTATAATGCAGTCAAAAAACTTTCAGAAAACAGTTCAACAAAATGTAACAAAAAAAAATGTAAGAAAAAATTTTAAAAAAAAGAAAAAATTTAAAAAAAGAAAAAATTTAAAAAAAAAAAATTTCGATTAGCCAGTGGATTTCTACTTTCAGTTTGTTCATTTATAGTAATTTTTAAAGGATTTGCTGTTAAAATTTAGATTCTCTCTGTAGGACAAGTGGACATCCATTTGTTCGATGGTAAATTCAGTAGTGGTGCAGATAACGGAGATACAGCGGCTGTTTTACCAGGCATTTACAATTCGCAGGAAGGTGACTGTTGTTGGCAATGTATTACCCTACTCTTACTACTTTAACATATCCTTGTACTTATCCAACAGTACGTGAAATAAGGATGACGTTCTATTGCCGATGAAGCTGCCCGAAACAGCACAAATGCATGAAAAAAAAAACAGCAAAATCGGGTGGATCGGAAGAAATGAGCAGTTAAAAAGTGAAAGAGAAAGGAAACGAAAAAAAAAAGAAATATAACCCAAAAAGTTGAAAAGTAGCTTTCAGTAATCTCAGTTATCACAATCGTCATATTGACGAGGTCCAGTCGTGATATTGATAAGAAATGTGTATGACTTAATGGACCAAAACACTTCTTATTACTACAGTAATCTCACAAATTTTCTAATTTTCGTTCCTCTCCTTCCTTTTCCTTTTTTCTCTTTTTTCCATTCTTTCCTAATATAAATTTCCATGGCTCAGAAGAGTGTCACTACCAAAAAAAAAAACAAATCACATGCATAAGTGGAAAATGTGAATTCTGTGTTACCCGAGGAAAAAAGTCTTTTTCTTCATTCATCTGCCCTGCTAATTTAGAAGTTTTTCAATGATACCTTAAAATTTTTAGAGCTGCAAATAACTGTTGTTTCATTGACTCTGGGCTGACCGGTGGCC